TACCCAGATATGAAATGGGAGGGAGTCCCGGATGTGATGATATGTTTCATTTCACACGGCAACGGCTGGCAATCCTTTCGACCGCACCGCACAGCACACATCCCCACCACTTCACTCCCGAGCCACAGGAGCCGAGATTTATGTTTTCTTGTAAACAAAATAACGGACATGCTTAAGGCTTTTCAGGCAGGGGTCGCTATCATATGTGTGAGGGGTTGCTCCAAGGTGTGGGTTGAGGATGGGAGCGAAATGGCCCGGCCTCAGGCCACTCCCCACTGTCAAACGGTATTAGGCGCATGTAAGCCTGCGTGTTCGATTTGGAGCTTTCTTTTCCGACTCCGACCCCTATCTGGATCGGATCATCAGGGATGTGTCTGACTCTCTACGAGGATACTCGCAGAGTATATATCTATATATATATATGTGTGTGTGTATGTGGGGGGTGTTGGTTGGTATGTCTGTGGGTGAACCAAACGTAAAAATTAATTATTCAAAGGCGCATAAGATAACTGAGAAATCTCTTTCCTTTTCCTTCTTTTTGGCTACATTTCTGTATCCTATTTTGTTTTTTTTTTACTTGGAAACGGTTTTTGCCTATCTATCATTAATGGATTGGCAAGCGTGCTCTAAATCTTAAATTACACGTTAAACTTCCTAGAAGTTTGAACAGAAATAAGTGCATTCTAAAGGAACTCAAAATTAATAGCATTGATTTAAATTTAAATGGTCCTAATAGCAGAGGTTGTAGTAGTACAAGTATTTGTAGTATTTGACAGCTTTTTAACTCCCAGTTGACCCACAAGCAGACACACACGAATACCATATAATTCATAATCAAACCATTCCCCCTTAACCTCCGGTAGGAATACTCGTTATTTTCAATGTAGAGACATTCCGTGAACCCATGATGTATATATATATGTATGTTGCGTTTTGTCACATCTCCAACCACTTCTTGAGACAGTTGCTTTAAGGAACACTTCCATTCAAGGATAGTATATAGCAAAGCTCCTTCAAAGCGATCCTAAATGAAAATTTGTGTAAACCGCAACGAAAAAGTCCACCGAAGGAGAGTGTGCGACGATTGGCAATCGAATTTAATGCGCATTTTCTTTTAAAGTGTCAGCATCTGGGAACAGCACCACCCCGCAACCACGTTGCCTTTTGTCAACAACATCCACCCAATCTGAATCCCAATCCCAAAAGTATAGCCGGAGCCGATGCCGGAGCCCCAACCCAGCGAGCCGCACTAATCAACACAATTACGGAGCAGTCGAAGGAAAACTTTTATAATTGGATATGAAGACGCGCACATGCGTTTCTTTAAACTCGGCATTCCACTTCATATGCCGAGGGTCCAAATATTGTGACAAGAAAATGGAGCATCGTAGCTGGAAAAGGCATCAGTTTCAACTCCCATTTAGGCATCCGATCTCCGTCGCTGCGTACACTGAAATGCTTTGACAAATTATTTTTAAGCCAATTTACAACTTGAGAAAAAGTATCAGGAAAACATATCACACCAGGGAGGAGAGGCGTGAGATGGGAATAGCTCTGGATCCCCATGGGTGAGTGGGTGAGTGTTTGTGTAGGTGGGGAAAATATAATGCGGGGGATAAAAGTGTAAAGTTGACATCCCAGGCACATTACTCACTCGAGGTGCCAGCCATCCTGCCAGCCAGCCAGCCCATGAGCAGTGAGCAGCGAGCAGCGAGGACAGCCAACCAACCAACCGATTCCACGTCAAAACCGGCAGGGAGCGAAGAACAGAGACCAGAAATGAGCATGGCCAAGAGAAATGGTAATGCGGCCGTCTGAGAGCCGATACCTACACTTTCCACTATCCTCCACTCCTCACTCTATCCAATCCTGAGTATATGCAGCATAGCAGTCGAGAGTTTGTGTGCACTTCTTTTGCAGCATTTCCACAACGTCTCTCGACAAAATGTCGGCATCGTCCACGGCGGAAACCATTAATTTTGTCACTTTCGGAAGTGCAAAGTGGAGAAGGTGCACATGGCAATCGCAATCGCTGGGCTGGGGCTGGCAGCTGGGCCAGTGACCATCCGACAGCAAAACAACTTTCAGCAATATTGAGAATCATGAAAAGGCAATTAAATCCGGCACCTGCTCCAGCTCGCCTGCCAGACAGACACGGAGAGATTCTCACTGGCGAGGGAGGACCAGCCATATGTGTACATCTTCCCCCCTGACTTCCAAACAAGTTAATTGCTGGCCAGGCACTGACCGCAATCACCGCAGGGACAGCGAGAGCTCCCAAGCATGGGGGTCGCATGACACTTGAGAACGTTGAGGGGGCCACAGGTCTGCTGACCGCAGAAACCGCACCGCATACGAAGTAGGGCCGTGTTTATAGTCAAATGTTGACTTAATAATTACAAATGCATAATTTAATAGTCAGAAAGTATGAGCAAAACCGAGGGGAAGCCACGGAACCGACAGCCGAGTCAAGAGTATGAAATGATGCTTATAAATATAACAGTCAGTCTCAGTCTTTTTGAAAGAGTCGGACTCAGTTTTCAATAACGCACATGATGTTGATGCCACTCTTCCCCAGATTGACTCCCTCGAGCGCCGACTCCTGTTGCTGACGCATGTAGATGAGAAACTGAATGATGACGTAGAACAAGTTGTTTCTGTCGTATACGCAGTTGTGCAGTTCCTTGTCGCTGATAAAATTGAACTTGGGATTGAGCGGGCTGCCGCTGCAGAGGATGGCGCAGTGCGCCTTGTTGTGCACGGCATTCACAATGTCTTTGGTGGAGCGTTTTTCGTCGCGCATCAGTACATAGCGGCAGTGGAAGGGCCGCCCCCCTCCCTGGGGCATCGGCATCAGTTGGCTGTCCAGATACACGCAGAACAGATGGAATATAATCTGTAAGGAATAAATTAATTAATGGGCTTAACAGGTAATAGTTTCTATGGCTTGTTTCTTACAGCTGCATCTGTGGGCAAGTGCTCGCCCCAATCCTGGCCGTTGTGCGCATTGCCAGAGTTCCAGCGAAAATCGGCTAGGCAGGAGCCCTGCGAAAGCTCCTTGATGCGTTGAACCAAATATTCTTGATTGCTGAAGGTATCGAGAAAGGGCAGCAGCATGGGCAGAATGGGGGCACATGTCTGTACAAATTGTTGGTTATCGGCTGTTTTTCGCAGACGCTCCAAGCTCACGGCTCCTATTTTCAAGTCGTGGAGGCCACGCTGCCGAAACATTTCGTCCACATGGTTGATCTCCTTCACCAGGCGTTGCAGTATGGTGGTGGAGATCCACTAAAGGAAAATGTAATTAGACGTAACTTTTGGCAGAGTGAAAATTGGCATACATTTCTGAGGTTTGCCACATACTGCGACAATTTGTCCGTGGAGATGCGATTGATGACCTCAGAGTTACTGTCCTTAAACTGGAACGAGCTGAACTCCTCAATGGACGTGGGCGCGTTTTCGGTGGAGACCGGTGGCGGCGGCGCCAGTTGATAAATTGTTTTCAACCTGTTCAACTGTTGGTTGCAACAGTTCCAGAACGAATTAGCCGAGCTCGTGTGCTGAACGTTTGGCCCATCTGAATTCTCCAAGATGCTCCGTTGACGTCGGGCATTCTTCATCAATGCAGGCAGCTGGCGGGCATCTGTGAGGAAGTCATCGTGCCGCACCTCTGCATAGGGAGAGTCATCGCTGAAGTTGCTGACGTTCAGGGAACTATTCTGCATCATCGGCGAGGTGCTGTACGAAGCATTCTGCATATGCTGATGCTGTTGGGGAGTTCTTGTGATGCTCGGACTGCGACGCAGCGATTGAGAACCCCAGCAGGAGTCCTCGAACGATGAATGCCAATTGATAATGGGCGTGTCATCTTCAAAATCGGTGTCTACTTCATAGCAACGCGGCTTTTTCACCTTCTGTGTGATGATGGTTTTGAAAGAGTTGTCTTAAGGACCACGAAAAAATTAGTCAATTGCTAAATATAACCTGAATCAACTCTTTACCATCATAGCCATCCAATAGACACTTTTGCACATTTGTCCCAATCACCTGGCCGCCTCTAAGCCATAACCACAAATACTTGCCCAAGCAGGCCACCGCGCTCAGGGCTGTCAAAGTGGCTACGGAGCACTCTGCCATGAAGAAGTAACCCTGCCGCAAGGACGTGCACGTCTGAAACAAGTCGAACAGGAGCAGTGACAGGATGACCACGTTGAATGAGCACCATTTAAGGTACCTTTTGGCCTGGGCGCCGTGGAGGCGCAGATCTAAGCTCTTTTGCACAATCGGTGAGCTGTATGACATTCAAATTTTATGATCAAGTGGTCATAAGTATTATTTCGTAATCTTACCATGTGTTCCTGGGGTAATTCATGCTGTATTATTTATGAAACAAAATTCCAGAATAATGCCAAAAAATTGGCGGTTTGACTGTCTAGATGTGACCGTCGGACCCGCAGCAATATACAGAAAGATACCGTCTCATTTTAAAAATATACCGTAAATATACTGACGAATTGAAGTTATATTATACATATTCCTCGTTTTTGTTATCCCGTCGAATATTAATAGCGAGATAGATCTCTCTGCCATGCCCACATAATTGTATCCAATTAATGAATCAATTTTCTACCTGACTGGCTTATTTTAACCACTTGTTTTTATTGGATCTTGTATGAAAAAAGGTTTTAGCGAAATAGTTCACACAATAGAACGAAAGTCGTTCATATTGTTCAATTTTTATATTTCGTTGAATAATTCTGGCTAACTAAAACTAAGGTTCTGCCCACATAATTTTAGACCTATGATGAATACATTTTCTTCAAGATTGGCTAGTTTTAGTCTTTGCTTTTTTTTTGTATTTTGGCCACCAACTAGCCGATTTCGTCGACAGGTGTCGCCTTACGAAAACTTCTCTGTGTAGTTGCCAATTAGCAGGTCTGATTGAAATTGCAATTGTTCCATCTCCTTTAAACATGTTTTTAAGCAGAAATCGAAGAGTTATGGATATATTAGTTTTGTGCTGGATGCGTCTGACACCCAGAAGGAAGCGTATTCGACCGCATTAAGTATGTTTGACGCCTAGTTCACAGAGACTTTAGAAGGTACACTGAATCAAGTTTTTTTCAAATTTTTTCCTACTGCCACAAATCGGTGGCATCCAAAATTTTGAAGATACAAGAAAACCGAAACACACAAAATCATCTACAATATTTTCGAATCTGGATGCTACCGATGCTACCCCTTCCATGCGCTTGCTCATACATTCTCTATCTCACACACTCTTTTTCATGCAGAGTTCGTCTCCTAGCGTACTGGAGTGAGATAGAAAAACAGCTGACTTGGTGTGAGAAGTGAAAAAGAAAGAGATAGAGATAGATGTGGATGTAGCGGGATAAGAAACCGTACTGGAAAAATGGTAAAAATAAAAAATTCAAAAATAAATCGTCGCCAAAATGCACTTGCTTGTATATTTCAAAGTCATATCGTTAATATCACTTATCTTTTGGTTAATGCGTTTGTAGGGGCTTAACGGGCTGCGACTTCCCGACTGCCTGCTTCCCGGCTTTTGGTTTCTTGGCGTTCGGTTTGAATTCTATTCGGAATTCAATTTCATTATTCCTTTATATTTATATTTATTACTTCTTATAACGCTAGGCAACAAAATCAAACTTTGATTTACGCTTCAGCCAAATCAACTTTTCCTAATATATTTGGGGCTGTAAAACTTTATAATGATCTATGGTTTTTTCATTATTTTTAACTTTATCAAAATGTCTTTTCAAAGGAAGATTCACATAATTTAAGTATCTTTCATCTGGTTGCTTTAAACTATGCAATTCTAAAAAGCAAAAGTAAATGAAAAACGGAGCCTGCCTGAATATAAATCTGACCCAAAACTTTTAGTATTAATTTAATATTGAGCATACATATAAGTGCAAAATAAATAATTTGCTTGCGAAGTTTGCAAAAATTGTTTACAATTAATTAATCGATTAAATAAATTATTTATGTTGTATTAATGTTTGATATATTTATTTTATTATTATTCAATATATATTAATTAATTACTGTTAAACCTTTTCTGTTGAGCGGAACTGTATATGCTGAGTTTCGGGTATATGTACAAGTAGAGTCGCGGCCCTTGTGGCACTCACAACGTTCCCGCTCGTTTAGAAAAAATACAATTCAAAAAAAAAAAATTAGCACAAAAAAAAATATTTATTCATTATTCGGAAATAACTATTTATATAAAAATGTGATCTACATCGAATTGGTCAAATTGGTCGGATAATCGGAGCGTCTGTAGATCTGTTTTCTGAGCTATTTATGTCCAGTAAATTTGATTTGGAAGTCTAAAATGCTCATTCCTGGTTTTAAAACGTTTTTCATTTTGCTTTCTAATTTGTATCCATTTTTTAATGCACGATTGGGACTGCTCTTTTAAATGGGCAAAGAATAGGAAAAATATAATTTAAGGGTAAAGGAACGTTCCTATAGTCGAAGAGCACGTCTTCGTCTCTTCCGCCTGCCCACAACGGGTGGGCCGACTCCCACTCCGACTCCCAGGCCTGGAACTGGGGCTAGTTGCAAAAGCAGGGGATTGTTTATCAGGGCTGCTGCTATGCCCAAAACTGTTGCACTGGCCAGAGGAATGAGGAAGCTCTTGGCCAGCAGAGCTTTAGGGGAGATTTCTGGTGATCCTTTGTGCGATACGATCTCGTGAGAGTCGATTGGATACGAGCTGTAGGTGTATTCTATACCAGGTCCGGCATAATGGCCCTGCTCGGGCCGAGGCCTGTAGACTTGGTATGGCGGCCCTCCTACTTCGACACTAGATCCGTATTCGTGACTGGGGACTGGTCCCTGTTCGTATCCGTGTGCGGGTCCTGGTCCGTAGTCATATGGATAGGGATGACCTTCATAGGCATAGCTTTTGCCTCCTGATCCGCTTCCACTGCTTCCGTAGTGACCTATGGATTATGGCCGATAGAACTGATGGCCTTCTTCACTCGACTTTTGGATGATCTTACCCACGCTAATCCGATCCTGAAGGGGACGACCTCCTTGGCGCCACTTATCGTAGGCCTCACTGAGATTCTCTTTAAAGCCACCAATCTTGGGTGTGCCTCCAAGGGGAATCGCTCCAATCGGCTTGGATATAAATCCAGCTGCAGTGTTGTCCAACTTTGGGATCGATCCTGGTCCTCGATAAAACTCCGGGGGTGGATCGTAACTCTTTGCTGCTGCTGAAGAGACTGCAGTCTTCAGAGGGACACTGGCCTGACGTTTCTGTGGAGGCTTTAGCGGTGTCCAGGAGTCCGCTGTCTGAATGACAGCACTCGAATTCTGCTCCTGCGCGGATACCAGAGACAGCCAAAGACAGATACACCAGCAGAAGCTGGATACAGGCAGTAGATTCTGTTTCAAAGCAAACATTTCGACTGTGATCGCGGCCTGCAGAAGCAGCGTTTATATGAGAGCAGGTGTCTCCCAGCCGCAGGGAATATGTCATAATTTCGTGGCATTACAGAGTGGCGTCAAATTGCGGGCTGACGGCAATTTAGGACTGAGATTGTTGTAGCCGCTTCGCTGGCATTGAGATTGAGACGCCGCCTGCAACTGCGCCTGACATGGGCCACTATTAGTGCCGCCAGCTTGGGAGTCGAGGGAGTTCTTTCTTCACTCTTTCATCAGGCCTTTCATCAGCGGGGGCAACGGGCGTGTAGTTGCCAATTTGCGCCCAGTTCCACTCCCACTCCTACTGCCACTCCCATTCCCGCGTTATTGAAATAAAAGCATTGGATGAGCACCACTCGCACTCGTGGGCACAGAAACTAAGTAGTGGAATTATTCGCGCCCTCGACTACGTGGCAATAGAAGCTCAAATTTAATTAAATCATTTATCGTTGCTTAGATTGGTGGAGATACCGTCTGTCGTTTTAGGCGCAGGGGAATGCTCTGAAAGACTATTTTCTTAGCTAATATCCAGCAGAAACCACAAAGCCCCCAAAGCCACGTTACGAAGATATCTGACATTTTTATAAAGAATTGCTCATGGGAAAAGGTTTGGTATTTTTATTTTCAGTCTTTATGCTTGCGATACATCTCGGGTACATCGGAGTCGTCCGACTCTGAAGTGGCTGGAAGTTCGCCATTCTTGTCGCCAAGCAGCAGTCGCTCGACCAACTCCACCTGGACAGTCAGGATGGCCGATAGGCCGAGTAGCAGCTCGATACGCTGGCGATACTGGAAGCGCAGCTCCTCATCGCTGGGCTTTTTAGTAACCACTAAACTGCTCGTCTTAGCTCTGAGTAGCTCGCGCCTATACAGCTCCCATTCGATATTCTCGTGGACAGTGCGGCCTTGGGGATGGTAGCTCTTGCGAAACAAGCGGCAGCCGCTGCCACAGAATTTGAGTGTGTTGGCGAACTCGAGACGGAGGAACTGCAGGTAGTTTATGCGGCTATGGCGCGTTGCATCCTTACGGTCCTGCTCGGCGCTCTCGAAGTAGGAGAAGATCAGGGCGGCGAAAACGTTCATGAGAACCACAGCAATGATGAAGACCAGCACTAGGTAGAGAACGATCCCTAGAGACTTTCCGCCGTGAAACATATCAGTAGGATGAACCTCCGAGCTAAAGCCGAAGGCAAAGCATAGGCAGGCGATGATGCACTTGACCAGCTTTTGGAAGTACTCGCTGTTGTTGCCGTTGATGATGGCCACAGCCATGCCGAGGCCCATCAGGAAGATAATAATGATGAGTGCGGTGCTGGCCACTGCTGGCCAGGCGAGATACAGCGTTTTGGAAAAAACGGCGAAGACGCTGGCAAACTGGAGCACCTTCCAGAGGCGCAGTGTAGTAATGCACACGAGGAAGCCCATAACAATATTTATCAGCAGGTAGAGCCGCGTAGGCCGCTGAAAGTCGAGATAGTCTCTCGTGGTGGACTCCTTGAGCAACTTCAATAGCTTGCTCACCTCGTACTCGCGGAGCAATATGAGCGCAAGTAAGATCAAGTTCATAGTGCAGATGATCACGTCCACCTTGTTCCAGGCCTTTTTGATGGCATCATGATTGTACCACAGCTTGACTGCCAGGCTGCGGCCAAATTGAATGACTATGATCAGGTAGAGGAGCATAACGATTATCTTCACATGGCTCATCTGGTCGAGGCTCTCGAGCAGCTTGGCACTCTGCACCGACGCCCGGGTCAGATGATATCCGAACGGAGTGTACTCCACCACCAGCGTGCACACAGTGAAGATGTTCGCATCAGCATTGAACATGGTAAAGTCGATAAAAAACGCCGAGGTGTTTTTATGGTCAATCCAGTTGTAGACCTTGAGGTATTTCAACACTTTAAGGCTGTTGTGCGGCCCTGTGGTTAGCAGGGCCGCATAGCCTAGCAATTCCGGGTAATCCACGTCGAATCCATAATGATTGAAGTTCAGCAGCAGCCCATCCTCCAAGGTCGGCATGTGGGTGATGGGTCTCCACGGTTCGTAGATCCGCCAGTATTTATCCTCGTAGTGGAGCCGCTGGTACGGCTCGCTCCACGCGGGCATTCTCGATACACTGTCCCACAGTGTATCGTAGGGATTGGGGGAATAAATATGACGCAACTGCCGTAGCCGGATTACGCCCAGTCTCTTCATCTGCCGGATTTGAAGCCAGCCGGTGTCAGCACTCGTATCCGGATTAAAGCCTTTGATCAGTGTCAGCTCGATGAAGTCGTACACCTTATCCAAGGTCAGGACCTCCTTTATGCCGAGAGTATTGCTTGTATTGTGGGACATGAGGGTCACCACAGCGTTCGTGTTGTAGTAGAGCAGCGGATCCTGGTGCACAATCACCACCATCAGCAGCAGAAGGAAGTATGTCCCGTACAGCTTCAGATCGTGGGTTATATGGCTGTACTTCTCGTTTAGCTTCTCGTTACGGTGTTGAATGGTGATCATAAGCTGAGACTTCAGGCTCTTTAACCTCGTCCTCAGGTAGTCCAAGTGGTTATACTTTTCCCTGGCGGCTTCCGGTTTGTAATTCATGATGTGCTTCTTCGGCCAGGTGGCCGAGTCGATGGACAGCACAATGAATCTGATAGGATCGAGGACGATGAACTGGAACAGCAATACTAGCACAATCGTCACCACCATGGTCTTGAACTTCTTCGTCTCGTGTTGGAAGCCTGTGATCACGGCTATTAGCGTGAAACTCGTCACCATCACCACAGCGGTGACTCCAAAAAATATGAGATTGTTCACATTATGAAAAACAGCAGACATTGTTTACGTTTTGCCTATTTTAGTATATTGTATAAGTTGATGAATCTTCAAAATACGGATAAGTTCTGAGCCAAAAACCAAATGAGTTTAAGCAATGACATTATTTGCTCAGAGTATGTGCTTCCCAACCTCCTATAGGCTCTGAGATCTAGTTCTCATTGAGTTGGAAAATGCCTTTAGTCTTTCCATGGTTAATAGACTCATCAACACTCACCCCCACATGAAGCCCAAAGAAACATCTAAAATTAACTCAAGTTTTTGTTTTAACGTATTTGCATTTCATATTTATAATTGCCATTTGGTATATGTCTTTGTATTTATGTATTGTATATTTAAATATAAATATATGCACAATTCATTAACTAAGTTAACGTCACTAAATAAAAGCGATATTCTTTTGATATATTCCTTTGTTCTGGTATACTGAGAGATGCTAGGTGCTAAAAAAAAAGTTTAAGATAGTACTGTACTCGTATAGTGGATATAATGGCTATAATAATACTGGATTCATCCAGAATACATTCTGAATATGTCTACGTATTGTGTATCTGGCGCTGGCTTTCATACATTTTCGGAATTGACTTTTGTTTCCCCGTTCCCGATGGTGCCTGGGAGCAGGTCTCTAGGACAGCTTCCACAATGCTTAGGCTGGAAACGGAACGGAACATCTATGGGGGAACACACATACACATATTATTATTGGTTAGATACAGTTGGGTAATGGTAATGCCTGGTTAGTGTTGGGGTAGTTTAACGTTTGTACTGGTGTTTAGTTGAGGGCCATGGAGCGCTTGCCCCAGCCACCATGCAGCTTCTGCCACTGATCGCGCTTGCCCCACATGCCCTTCAGGTTGTTCCAAGTGGGCTCGCGCTTGCCCCATGCGCCCCTGAATTTGTTCCAGCCTTGAGCCTGACGGCGCTTGCCCCAGGCCACATTCATGCTCTTCCAGGCCCGCTTCTCCATGTTGCCGGCCGCCTCCGGGTCCTCAACCATATCTTCGCCTGATTGCTGCTGTTGCAGCGTCTGTGGCTGCATGTCCTGGTTGCTGGCCAGCCGCTCGAAGGTGTCCCAGTCGATGGTATTGGTCCCATCTGTGATCACCAAGGGCACAAAGTGTCCAGTCATGTAGATGTTGTCGTCTCCACCGAACGATGCCTCCGACCCATCAGGCCCGTCCCTGCTCCGTTTGCCCCAAGAGCTCTGCAGCGACTGCCAGGCCCGCTTGTTGTTACTGTACAAATCGCTGTCGCTCATTTGATCCACCACCTGCTCGGAGAGGCCACTCGGTTCGTTGCTGGCGGTGCTAGCGATGCTACCGGTGGCCAGGCTGCTGCAGGCACTGCACAGAAGCAACACTACCACCAGCAATATGCGATTCTGGGTCTTTGTCTTCGTGTGGGCCATGCTCACTGTGAAAATATGAAAAAAGCGAAATGGAAATGTACATGTAAATGAAGCTGAGACTGAGACTGAGCCTGAGTCTCCACTGAGGCCTCGAGGCTCAACCGCAGCGCCTCGAGGTATGCTCAATTAAGTCAAAGCCTACGCCACTCGACTGCTCCCTGGGGGTCCACGGGGGTCCTGGGGAGCGTTTTGTTTCTTCCCACCCCCGTTCAATGGCAATCATTTCCGCCCACGCTTAAAAATTACTCCAACAAGAGGGGTCCGAACAGGGGGGGAACAAGCATAACGATTTAGCTAAATAACCTCTCTAATTGAAAGCGGTTGGGGTGGGAGCTTCCAGTAGGAATCCCCGCCCAGCTGGATGTCGGAGGTCATGTCATGCCGCCTGTCGACCGCTGCGTTAAAAGGCAACAGCGCATAACAGTTACAATTTATGGCCTATTAATGTCCTTCTCCTGAGGTAGCAACCAGCGGGAGGCCGCATGGAGGGAGCTCGGAATGTTTGCTGGCAACAGGAGGCACGAAGCAGAAGGCGAGGCCAACGCAGCGGAATGATTGGGGATACGCGTATATCTCTGCCTATTGGCGGTAATCCTACGCACTTCTCAGCTCTGCTCTCCACTGGACTCCATGCCATTGCTGATTTGCCGTCGAGTGAAAGGGAGTTAGGAGCTTGAGATAGAAAAGGAAGAGGCCGGCGAAAGGCCATTTCAAGTCGATAATGATGCTTTAAAAAGTTAATATGCTTTCTTATAGTCAAGATTATGGGTTTGTTTGACCAGCGGCTTAAGTGCCTTGCGATTGCACTTGCGGTCGCTCCAAAGACTAGACAAAAGGCAGCTAAAAGCAGAATGGAGGCAGGAAGTGGGCTGATATTTGTTTGCACTTCCTGCCAAAGTAGTTTTACCCATGCGCTCGCATATGCTGCACAACCATATTTATTAGCATACATGTCAGTATACAGAATATACTTAAAAGCTATCAAATCCCTATCCTGCTTATATAAACATGGATGAAAAACAGCAAGAAGTACTGTCATGAACATATCTTTGCCGAAATACCGTCGATAGAAATGTGTTGCCTATATTCCTACGGAAGTTCGAATCATCATATAAATTTCCTACCCCTATCTTTATATAATGCCCCATTTGGAGTAATCCTCCTGGCTGAACCGTATTGAGGCGCCAACCTGGAAAGTCATCTCCATGAAATGAAGTCTTCAAAGCCCGCCACAATCACGGCGCGTCAATCAGCATGGCAAGTCCGTCGTATCTTATCTGGGAGGTCGTCTCCTGATTAAATGATGTTGTTTGTTGCCGCTTAGATTGGCTAACTAATTGAGAGGCGTCGCGTCGGCGGAAAACCAACACGTTTGCCAGCTGGAACTGGCCCCGGACTACTGACTTCTGACTCCTGACTGATGATGGTCCGAGTGTGAACCCATCTCTCGGATCTCTGGCCGCCTTATGCTAGCTTAGATTGGACTTAATTTGTGCGCTTGTCGTTGATTGATTGACGCCGTTCAGATGAAAGTTTTAGCGGCTTTGCACCAAATTATAATATATAGGGCCACCGTGATGATGGAGCACGCATCAAATTTTATGACCACAATCAGTGGGAGTGGGAGGCCAAAAGAGGCCATCCAGGAATCAGCTAGGAACCAAGAAAACTGCAGAAAACGTGCGCAGGGTCAAGTTGTAATTGAAATTAACTGAAAATATTTATGGCCTTTGCGGCTGACATTCTTCCGAATTTGGTAGTTGACTCCTCGTCTGTGTCCATTATTAATTTGCCTGCCTGCTTGAGAATAATTCATGTGGTGTCAGGGCAACGGCAACCATACCAGCCGCATCCTCTGAAGAGGACACAGACAACACACTCCTGGCTATATCCTTTTGGAGAGGACTCCCCCCAGTTTACTGGGCAAACAAATTGAAACGAAATTTTCGCGCCAAAATTAAACAGCTTGGTGGAAATCGAATTTGCCAGCTCGCCTATTCATTGTGTCTCTTCGATAAATAGCCTCGGCAAATATTTGCCAAAGGATGGCATTTGCCTATAAGTATTTTGTTTAAATAGGTCTCACAGCACCCACGTAGAAGGAACACACAACACCGCCTATTGCCTGTCCTTTAAAAAAAGAGCGTGAATGGAAATCTTCATCCACAATTCCAGGCTGCTTTGGGCTTGGGGGACACAGACATTCCCGAAAATGCGTAAATCAACAGAATATCCGCAAAAGTGCAAATAGAATGCTCGTCTCAAGCAGGCGCTACTTGGGCCAGACCCAGACTCAGACCACTGTCTACCCTCTCGACCCACACTCGATTTTGTTTTAATGCAAAAGAGTTCGTTCTGCATAATTTATTGATATTTATTTATCAAATTTAGGCCGCTAAGCCGACAACGTCTTCAAACAACCCAAGCAGTGCTGAGAAAATTACAATTATTTTAGTTCCGGCCGAACTCTGGGAAATATTGAGAGGCAATAAATGTAGCGCGCTGGAGTTTACTATTTTTTGTCAAAGCTAATAATTTAATAATAAATTCATTCTCAAAAAATTTGTTCGAGATATTACTTGGTAAATAGTTAATAGTCACGTTTGCAGCATAAATTGAATTTTTTTTGTTGCCATGTCTAAGAAAGTTGAATAAAGTTGTGTTCCTTCAAAAACGAGAATAGTAAACACGAAGAAAGGGTATCGATATGCTGGATGGCCTCAGAAGAAGAGGGGGCCTTATTTTAGCATTTTTGTACATTTCAGATAATTTTTCTGGATTGCTGAGATATTAAAATCTACACTATTGCATATTAAAATGGTCAATTTGCTTGGACATATTATTTTCTGATTTTAGGAAATAATCATAAGACTTTTTTTTAAACTTCGACTTGGTTAAATTTATACTTTTAATGAGCAATTATTAAAACAAAGTAATGAGCACAAATGCTAGCCACTTAGTGTCTCTATTCCTTAATTTTTTTTTTAAATATATTTATAAAAATAAAAATCTATATACACCTACGGAATTTGATGAAATCCAGTTCAAGCTAAATTTTTTTAAAAATCAGAAGTTAAGTTTTAATTATATTTCTACCGCAATAACTTTGCTTTATTAAATTCAATCTCTTTTCCTGGAAGACCTTGGAACCCATCCCAATCTGCCACGATTCGATTATGAACCACTCGTATCGTCACATATTGAATATATCCAAACCACTCACCTGAGTATATTCTTGCACAATTTTCGTTGTTTTATTCGAAATCAAAGAGTGAACGGGTGTTGGGCTTCCGTGGGCTTGTATCTGCGGTCAGGCGATTTTTTCACAATGCGGCTTCTGATTGGATTCCTGATTTTTGTACTCTGCTTTTATAATAGTTTTTTCCACATGAAATTACTTTTATAAGTGGATTTGTGGGCACACTTGGAACTCAATTAGCGGACAGTTGCACAGCCTGTGCACCGTGCATATGAAGGAGTGACAGAGGACAGTGGTATAGCTGGAGTCCTGTCTATGGGGCTGCGTGTGCGTAAACCTGTTGATCGACTGCTAATGATACGCAGCACGGCGCAGCAGTCGCTTATAAATCAAAAC